GCGGTCAGTTGGTGCGGGAGCTTTGAGTGTGTGGGTGCACAATCTGCAGGGTCAGAAGTTCGTACCAGACTTCAGTGGCAGCAATTATCGTGGTCCGGCGGCGCGGATTGCGGGAGGGACGCAGGGGTGGCAGGTGTACAACTTCATGGCAGACAACAATATCAACATTGTTGCCCCGGGGTCAGTTTCTTCATCCGCATGATGATTGGTGGCTAAAAGGGGCTTTCAGTGAGAGCACCGTGGCTATTCTAGGTGGCTTCACGGCTGTTGGCGGACACTCTGCCCTCACTTCGTACCACGGCATGGGCTCCGATCAAGTACTGCAACTTCAAGTCGTCACAGCGGATGGGAGATTCCTCCAAGTCGACACAGACAACAACCCCGATCTCTTCTTCGCGATGCGTGGCGGCGGCGGCAGCACATACGGCATCGTTACCTCGGCCGTTGTCAAAGCATTTCCACCCCTGATTGTACAGACCGCTCAGTTTGTGTGGTCCGGCAGTCTCGATGCCAACTTCTCCTCCCCAAACATCGACCCATCCACGGGTGCCATCACAGTCGACAAGGAAGCCTTCTGGTCTGGGGTGCGCGAGTGGATTCAGTTCAGCCGCTCCGTCTCCAGCGCCGGTGGTATCGGCCTTAGTTACTTTGTGCCCCCATCCTCGACATTCATAGGCCATGCCCCCGGCTCCTTCCAGATGATCGGGAAATTCGAACTCCCCGGACAGACACTCGAAGATGCCACTGCCTTTTTCGAACCGTTCTTCAGCACCATGACCCAACTCGGCGTTCCCCTCACGCAGTCCAACACCACCACCATTACGAGCCAGGCATACAACACTCGACGGACCGGCCAGGGCGACGCCATCGGTCAGAGCCGCTTCTCGTCGCGCCTGTTCCCGCGCACCAACTGGGAAGACCCCGCGCTGTTCAACGCCACCGTGCAGTCCATCCGCGCGGCTGTCGAGGACGGCGGCTACACAGTGAACGCAGTTCCGTACGCGCCAACCGAGAAAGTGGCAGGGTTCCCTAACGACGCAGTCAACCCTGCATTTCGCGAGACGCTCATGCACGCTATCGCGTTCGACTCAGTGTCCCCAGTGAAAGACGGTCAGGTGTTACCGGCAAAGGTGCTAAACGCGGCACACGCGCGGCTAGACTCGTTCGTGGACGCATGGAGGAAGCTGACGCCAGGGAGCGGAGCATATATGAACGAGGCGGACGTGCAGGAGCCAGAGTGGCAGCAGAGCTTCTTTGGAGATCACTATCCGCGGCTGTTGAACATTAAGAGGCGGAGAGACCCGTAGGGCGTGTTTTGGGCGCCGACGACGCCAGGAAGTGAGGCGTGGGAGGTGATTGTGCCGGATGGGTTACCGTTGCAGACTGGACCCCTGTGCCGGACATGATGGATCCCACGTCTTGTCAGAGCCCTCGTATGAATGGCTCGGCACTCGGTTTTAAGGCTCCCGGTCTATGTCTAGTCTCTCGTAGACAGACGCTTTAACAAATGAAGCTCGTACCTCGCTTGTTAAAGTCTGTTAGCGATCGCGGGGGTCCGATCGGGCTAGAAAGTTGTTACGTAATTGCGGAGTTTGAAATCTCATCGCACAATCGTACGCTCGAAGTTCTGCTACCCTGAGGATATAATACACGCCCAAATCGTACACATATTCTGAAATATATGGGATTTGATTGTTTCTGCATTTTTTTCTACCCTCAGCCCGAATTTCGGTCCAAGGGTGCTACAGCTCGTCACCGATCAGTCACTCTGTCACATCGATTCCTGTGATCTTATACTGAGAGCTAGGAATGCAGGATGAAAATCTAAAGCGGCAGATTCTCATACTCACATACAGAGCTCTCATCCGCTCAGAATTCAAATGAAAAGACGCGTTTTTGGTTGAACATGAGCCGCGACGAAATTCGAACTCCGCGATTACATAACAACTTTCTAGCCCGATCGGACCCCCGTGATGGCAACAGGACTAGTCTATGTCTGAACAGACGGCGTGTTTTTCAAGTTTTTCCAGGTTTTTCAAGTTGGGAAAATAAGAGACAAGAAGAGAAAAAGAGGGAGACTATCTATGATATCTGCATGCTCATTCTCGGCTCTTGGCTTATGTCTGTGGAGAAATCAAAAAAAGGCAGTAGTTCACTCGTGACCTTTACTCGTACTTTCATTGTCAGAAACTATTATCTTCGTGCTCATCGGTGCAGCACATCACTCATCAACTTGGGGTAATGGTCGTGGCTTTTGCCCGGCATGGGACTTGTACTTAATTTTCACACGTATATTTCGACATTTAGGCCGAAGATCCATGCCCTATGTAATTGAAGTTCGGAATGCATCTCAGACAGATTCACGGCGCTCCTTGTATAAGATTACTGTATATCGAACTCCGCCATATCTGAGATTTGGCTGCGTGGAGATGAAGAGGGTGGTTGTCGAACGGTTGTGAGTAGAGTAGCAGACACCAGAGCAAATAGACTAGCCGTATAATACAAGGGTATACATGTACCGAATCCAAGGCATGGCCATGAAATAGGCACAGCAATTGCACCACTGCAAATTGAGCCAACTCATCCTAGTATATGCTGCCTTGATATAAATCACGCGGCATTTTGTGGGCAATCTGCTTAATAACGTATCCTATCCTCTTCAGCGGCACTTGGACACATTTGTTCGAGGCTCGTTATCTGCTATGCCCAATCTAATTCTAGGAACATCTTCGCTGCTCACTATACTGCTAAGGCCCAAATGGCGCGCAGCCTTTTTTCTACTGTGGTAGTAGTTGAGCCTGGATTGGGATCTACCGCTGATGTCGATCGGCGATTCGATCCTGTTGCAACATGCGGAACTCTAAAAGTTCAAAAGACCTTTCTGCGAAGGCTCATGAGCTTGGGGTCTTTTCTATGTGTGCGCCGCTATCACAGATACTTCCTGTCCGCTATAAATGGCCAATTCTATTGATACACTATTTTCGCTACGTGGTTGATCTTGAGCGCCGGCCGCAAAAGTTTTTGTGTTAACTGTCGACTAGTTAACGTGGTTGTGCTACGCTGCTATACTATTCGATCCCAAGTCTGTGAATGTGGCCGGTACCCAGATACTTAGATCTACAGTATGATCTTGACAGTTGGGTGGTTGGTGTATGAGCTGTGTGAAGTGCACCGCTCGAAATGAGGTGTTGAAACTGGATACCTGGTGCAACTGAATCAAATATACAGTCAAGATCCACCTGTAAGAATTGGACACTTCCATTTGCCACCCTTGACTGCGCAAAGTTTACATCTCAGCCTTAAGTGTCTCAGTTATAGGCCTCAAGCATGCCTGCTTAAATAAACCCCTGCTTCACCGACCTATTACCTATATTTACACCTGCCAAAGCCGTTGGGTAGCCATATTGTATGGCCCCGTAGATGATGAATGAACAGTAGAAGTTTATCCCGCAAAATGTGGGCCAGTAGGACGGTCCAAACTCACACTCTTAATATTTTTGGCGGCTTAAATCTGCCCTAAATTTTGCTTAAATCTCAGCATAGTTACTACATACTTGCCGCATAGTTCTCAGAAATTTAGCCCCCTTGCCACCGGCGGACTATTCAATTTTGACAGTTCCATCACTACAGATTTAATATAAAAAGTGGTATACCTAGCAGTAGACCCATGCCAATATTGTCCAACGCAAATGAGGTACTGGTCGATAGTTTGGTGGTTTGGCGTTTCGAAATGAAACTGGGGTGGTGGGTATCAATTTTCTCTCCCCGCTGCGCGGAAGCACGGGACTGTTGCAACACCTTGCCCGGTTGCCGACCATGTTTGCCCAGTTGTAAAATTACCAGAGAAGCGCCGGCGTACATGCTGACCGAATTCAGATCTTTCTCAGAGTTGAGTGAGCCAAGCAAGTTCATGATCAATCATTTCATGGACTTCCTTATTATCTCTCTTTAGAACGAATTTTCTTCCGCTGCGTGGTGCTATTTAAGGATCTCAATTTAATATAATTAAATAGGTTTCTGGCTGCTCTTTCGTGAGACTCTGTGCTCATATATTAAACTTAAGGATTGTTCCATTCACACTGAGGTCAGTTGCACGGCTAGTCATTCTTTGTTTCACCCTTTGACTCCAATCGACATTTATCCACACCCACACCCTGTAAGAACATTTTCGAAGAGCGGTTAAATGAGAGTACCTTGTTCGACTCAAGGTCAGGTCATTGGCCAATCCGTCTTTCGTCCCTCTGCTTTTCTACTCCCAGATTGTTATTGCGCATCAAACCCGTGCGCCAGCTCCTCCACAAATATTGCCTTTCCTGCGTGCTGAATTCCTTCCAGGACTTTCTTTTTCTCGCTATTTCTGCGCTCACAATCGGCGGCATTTATCCAGGTTCACTACAGAATGAATATGACATGGAGGCGGAGCGGTCCGCGCCAAAGATAGTATCGCGGCGTGAAACAATCATTTGGGTGGCCCTTGTTCGACTCAAGGCCAGGTCATACTCCGGCCCATGCGACTTTTTTTTAAATCTAAATTTCCAAGTTTCTTCTCCTTCATTTGCCCCAGGCAAGCTTATTCAACCCGCAGGGAGAGCAAATATGGACTCACAGTCAGGTCAGTTCCACGGGGATTTCTTTTTGATTTGTTTTCCTCCTTTTGACTCCAGTGGTACGCACCTATTCAGATTCAATACACCATGAATGTGACCTGGAGGCGGAGCAGTTCGCGCCCAATGACAGTTTGCGTCCACGAGATCGATCAGCATTGGGAGTCCCTTGTTCGACTCAAGGCTAGGCCATTCTGCCCGCCTGTTTTCTTTTTAAACCTCAACTTCCAAGCTTCATTTCATTCTCCTTCATCCTAACCCGTGCGCGGTGTGCTCTTATTCAACCCACGAAATACAGCATTGTCGAATTCGGAGTCGGGTCAGTTCCATGGTTCTTTTTTTTTATCGCACTTTGACTCCAATCGACATTTATCCAGGTTCCATACCAGGAAATATGACCTGGTGGCGGAGCGGTCCGCACTCAACCATAATGAGTCGGTTCTGCCTCCATTTGGGAGTCCCTTGTTCGACTCAAGGCCAGGTCATATTGTAGCTTCAAACTGTCTTTTTTTTCTCTCTTCCAGGATGCTTCGCAGCAATACCGTCCTCTTTTCTCTGAGCCTTTTCACAAGCACTGAATTCCTTGCAGGACTTTTAATTTATTGCCATTCTACGCTCCAACTCCGTGTCACACAAGCAACTACAGTAGGTCTTGATTCTTCCCGCAATTCTCGTGCTCAAAATCAGCGACACTTAAACAGGTCCAACCTAGATGAAATATGACCTGGAGGCGGAGCGGTCCGCGCCCACACCTCATGGACAGTGCACCGCGTGGTTAAGTGGCAGCCTTGTTTGACTCAAGCCCAAGTCATGACTGGTGAATACAATTTTCTTTTCTTTTTAAATCAACCTTCTAGGTTCTCTTTGAACCCTTCATTCTCCCTTATTCAAATCTCGCGCACCTTCAACCTATGAAATATAATACTGTTCAATTTACAGTCAGGTTAGTACTTCCATCCAAAGATCTTTCTGTCCTTTCAATTTATTTCGCCTCTTGACGCCAATTGAGATTGACACACTGGTTTAATTCAAAGGAAATATGGCCTGAAGGTGGAGCGGTCCGTGCCCAAAGATCATCGCCTTCGCTTTTCCAGCTTTGTTTTTGAAAATACTGGCTTTCACAGTTGTGAGCACTGAATTACTTGGGGCTTTTTTTGGTTGCCATTAGGGGAGTTCATGGTAGGGCATATTTTCCCATTTGTGAATATATATATTCGAGTGATGGGACCATTATTTTTACAAACTAAAGATATTCCACAAACGAGTTTCAAACTTGTTTGTGGAATAAACACTCGTTTGTAAATATATTCCTCTGCTTGAGTAAGCAAGCTGCCCATAACTGCCATGCCCACCCATCATCCCACCTCTCCCGCCCATCATCCCGCCTCTCCTACTCGTCATCCCGCCTCATCCTGCCCATCATCCCGCCTTCCCTGCCCATTGTCTCATCTCGTCCCACCCAACATCCCGCCGTCCCGCCCCTGTCGTCCCGCCTCTCCTGCTCATTGTCTGCAACAATCCTGTCCTCCCATCAAAAAAAAAATAGAAAAAATACGCCCTGATCTAAATTGTTTAGCTGATATAGGGGTCTGTCAGATGACTAGATGGCGCACATAAGGTGATTTGTGAGGTGCGTGTGCCTGGCAGGTGGAATTGATGCTACAGAAATATAATGATATCCTGGGACTCAAATGGGGTGATCACGCATTTATTCCACAAACGACAATTTTATTCGTCTCATCAAATGAATATATTTATTCACAAACGGGAAATTCGGCCCTACCGTGAACTCCCCTATTCTGCGCTCAAAATCGACGGCACTTAAACAGGTTCAATACACGAGAGGATATGACCTGGCGGCCGGCGGAACGGTCTGCCCCCACATTTCATGAAAATTCTGGCAACAGACATTGCGTGAGAGTCCCTTGTTCGACTCAAGGCCCAGTCATGACCTCACATTTTGCGATGTTTTTTTTATCTCAATTTCCAAGCCTCCGTTGGCGCCCCTTCATTTTCCCCGGCAAGCTTATTCAACTCGCAAGCCGGACAAGAAATACGGATTCACAGCCAGGTCATTTCCACGGGTTCTTCCTTTTTTCTTTTTTTTTTTTTTTGTCCCTTGACATAATTCAGCAATAACTCAGATATTGGCACACTTATTCAGATTCAATACCAGCGAAATACGACCTGGAAGCGGAGCGGTCCGCACCAAAACATTATAACAGTTGGGACAAATTGCTTCAGTTGGGAGTCCCTTGTTCGACTCAAGGCCAGGCCGTTCGTCCGTGACTTCTTTTCTTTTCTTTTTCTTCCAACATGCTTCGCCTCATCACCGTCCCCTTCCTTCTAAATCCCTAGCCCGTCTGCCATACGAGCACCGAATTCCTTGCAAGACTTTAATCTATTGCCATTATACGCTCAATATCTGCGGAGCTTAAGCAGATTCAATGTGTTGCAGTGAGTCTTTATTTTTCCCGCTATTCTTGCGCTCCTTCCTTTCCCCCAATTAAAAAAAAACATGAACTTGAAATGAACCATGCGGAAAAATCTTGCGGGACATTCAAAACGAGAATATACATACATGAATCAGATGTAGTGTATATTATCAGTAAAACTCGAAACAAAAAACGAGAAAGGTGTTTGCTGGAAACTATATTGGGACAGATCGACGCGGAAATAAGCCGTGGGGCTCTCCCATTTCAAGTGCACCCACGGGTTTCCCTACACCACATTCAATGAATTATCTTGTCAGGATAGCTTCACTATGACTGCGCAAAATAAGATCTATGAGAGTCTGAGAGCCCTGGACCGCGAGATACTTGAGCCGGTATTTCTAAGGCGAGCCTACTGAGTGCCTTACATCATATCCGATGAATTACCTTCCACGTTGCCCTGAAAACCAGCAAGGACGCTAAAAGCATGAGGCAAATATTTCTAGTCCTGTCCAACTTCACGAAAAATTACCCAGGTCAATTACGAAGTTATGCAGATTCCGCGAGGTAAAAAGCGGGGTGAGTTCGATTTAAGTCTGAGGAAATTATGTTTTCCTATTCCGGGACAGGTGCCGCGCATCAGTGGTCGAGCAGCGGCTGAGGCCGTCGCATAAGAGCATAAGAAGGAAAACCAAATAGATATGGGATAGACAATAGCGAATGGTTTGGCCTGGGTAACCAGACAAGTCTCAAACTCCAGAAGGGTCGCAAAACACGGTAACCCTTTTCTATAATCCGGTCATGAAGCTCTCCGCACAATGGGAACTCCAGGAGTGATTAAGTGATGCTGGAAATCATGACACCAAGGAATATAGTTTCTGGGCGGGAATCGCGTGTTCAATCAAGAGTTGGACAGAAGGTCCGGTGATACAGGACCACTGTGAAATATAGATGGAACTCTCCAAAGCCAGGATCCACTATCATGCAGTGATTATGTAGTACATACATTACGGAGAAAGGTAAATGTGCCGAGGCAACATTGCTAACCCAACTTGAAATTGGACCAGGAAATGGCAATAAATCGACTAATTAGACTGCTGACTTTCAAGAGCTAACTAGCGTACGCAGCTGACGAAATACGTGCATGGCGAATGTCCGTGGGTTACAGAGTGCTCGCCATGCACAATCGCGGCGCTAAAGAAAAATGCCACACTTTCTAACACTGAGGAGTGTCGAAGAATAACTCACCAAGGCTCTGGCATGAATAAGACAATAAGTGCATTATTATGGGGCTCACGCGGCGTAAGAGGGTCACAGATATGGCCAAAGGCATCAACTCGCTCTTGAATTGTGTTGAATGTTCATCATAAGCCGTCGTGGGAAGAGTTTGTATTATCTCACTTCGGACGAGTAATTTGATGTTGCATGTCAAGATGGGAGGATGATTAAGATTTGGGAGTAGGAGTGCAACAAGCAGGAACCAATGAGACATTCAGCCATCACGGGAAGGACCAGATTCAGATAACAACCCGATTACATCCCGAAATTTGGCCGAATTGATACGGTAACCACAGGTTGTGGTTCATCACAAATTTCGAGTTTTTGATTTCAGACCTGGTAACCTACATTGGTACCAGAAATGGGAATCTTCGTCTCTCCCTCCAGCTTGTCTAATTGGAATCGTCCTCTGGTTCGCATCTTCAGTATTTCAAGGAAGAGATACATCGGCAAGGATCGCAAGTACAGTAAATATTGGCCTGGTTATTTTTTCAGGTCATTTTTTTTTGGCGACGTTGCAGGTGGGCAGCGTGATATCCGAGAACATGGAAAGAGTTGAGATGTGATGTCCCCCCCGACCTAAAGGTGTTAAAATGGCCCATGCCTCTTGTCGTCAGTGTTATCCTCGGCGCCTTCACTGATGCGTTGATGCTCCTGTGCGTTGTTCGCGGGATGATCCTGCACCCTCGAGAGTAAGCTCAACTTCAATGGAGTGTGCGTACACAACCCACCCATTTTGTCTCATTTCCTACCACACCGATGCTACTGCAGGTCGTATGGGCAACGTGAACCCCTCCCTGTGAGTTCCAAGTACCGCTTGCAAATCTGACGGGGCTCATGGGCATCGACTCCGAGTAGTTCTTGACCGCATGCGGGCAGCGCAGGTTGAGTGTCAACATGAGACTGTTGGTATAGCTGAGTGACGTATGTAAATCAACTAAGGCGCACTGCACTGTGAATGAATACAGGGACGAACAATTTCCCAAGTATATACGACCTGGGATATCACGACATCAGCATTATTGGTAGACGGGTCAAATGACATTAATTCCACTCACGGAACAATATGGTAGTATACCCGATGAACATGGCGAGGTCAATGGCTGCGCCGACCGTGGTGAGTGCGTAGTAAGTGTGTAGGACTCGGATCACTTCGGAAAGCATAAACGACAGGTGCCGTCAGCGAGCAGCAGAGAACAAACAGACAGTCTCAATATGTGTTGCGCGAGGTCAGTAGAGTATCGATGGTGAGAAGATCATAGAAGTTAACTGGAATTCAATTGGAATCCATGGAATTTTTTCTTGTTTTTTTTTCTTGTTTTTTTCTTGCTTTTTTCCCAAAAAAATCCCCGAAGGTCAGTGTAGTGATGATAAATTGACTGAACTTGCCCACTTTCCCATTGAGTATGTCTAGCACTACAGGTACATTATATATATGACTATTTAAATTGTCTCGAACAAGGAGGACATCTTCTCTTTTTAGAATTTCTTGGGTGTGATTTCAAGTAGTTCTAAAGCACAATGGGAATGAGTTTCTTCAAGATTTTTACACCCCAAATGGAAGGTCAGGGAACTCCGCAATAAGGGGTCTTCCCATATATTTATTGTGTCTATGTTACGCCTATGGTTAAAAAAGAAGACAAATAAATTTTTGTGGTATAGAAGGGCTTCTGCCACTCGCAGTGAAAATATTTCCGGTGTAGCGGAGTCGCAGCCGGGTCCGGGCTATTCCAGATAAGTGTGTGCGGTGAACGCCAACGGCTGGGCGGTCGAAA